CTCTGACTGCAGTTCAATTACTCATTACCTACACACATTGTCACGTCACGCCGTGACCATCTTATATATACCACACCACCCCAATCCATCAAATGCTAGGGAATTCACGAAGGAATAGGATATTTCTAGAAACGTGGCGTGACACTAGTCACGTGACCTCGCTGACGCAACAGAAACAACGTTCAGACAAAAGCATAAGTGTAAAAATAAATGAAAATGAGATATTTTTTGCAAACATGATTGAATAGATGCTGTGAATTATTCTATTTTATTTCTTTTGTCACAGGATCCGCACTGATCGTAAGAGAGTGTTAACGGCCTTTAAGCAATCAACACCACTATCACGAAATAGTGCTTCAATAAACCAAGAAATAATTTGGGTTTGATTATGAGAAGAATAGACGCTAAATTACGTTACTTTGGCTAATAAAATTGGTCTCAATGATTGAGAAATATGACATGCAGTTTTTAATTTACCCTCTGTCTGTATCTGGTCAATTAAACAAAGCATTCTTTGGCATTAAAAACAAGAAGAAAGAAAACGAACTTAAAGGCCAAAGAATACTTTGTTTAATCGATCAGGACGCTGTTATGATAAGTAAAAGAAACTTTGAAAGCACCTCAGATCAACAAGAAATGTAACACGAAACTTTACACAGTAATGTTTTTTGACAATTGATCTAACCTCAAAATGATGATTATCGGTTATTTTTGTCTATATAGTTAATGAACTTACACCACAAAGCAACATACGTAACCACATTCTATATTCTAATCCTAAGCCTGGAAGATCAAATACGAGTCCACAATGTCCACTGAAAAAAAAGACTGACTCTTGGATGACGTAAGAATACTTCGCGTCAACTAACAGAAAAATGTACTCTGGGTGGACTAACGTGAACCAAATGACATGTCTCATACTAGTTAGCGTAACGAACATTAGGCTTTAACCCAACAGCATGTATTATATCACCCTGTGTAATAGATTTTGTAGATGAGCAATTACAGTAAACAATATAGAGGTATAGCTGCAAAAAAAATATAATAGAAGTATAGATGATGGTTGTTTAGCATATAATTAATTAACTGTCACTAAATACTAAATAATATCAGACTTATTTAAACTTAATAAATTGGTTGGAAGAACACTGAAGCTACATACGTGATTCAAAAAACAATACTTTTGAGTAGAATGTCCTCTAAATATATTCTCTCTTCTGGTGTTTCGTATGCTAAATTATGATTGTGTTTAAATGGTGTTAAAATACACTTACCCTGGATACCCTAGCAAATTTTCTTCTTCTGACGTCTCATACGCTGTATTATGATTGTGTTAAATAATGTTATATTGCACTTACCCTGGGTACCCTAGCAAATTTTCCTCTTCTGACGTCTCATACGCTGTATTATGATTGTGTTGAATAGTGTTATATTGCACTTACTCTGGGTACCCTGGCATATTTTCCTCTTCTGGTATCTCGTATGCTAGATATTTCCAAGAATTCGGTTTCCTGAAGAACAGAAAAAATAATTTCTATTAACAGAATGTCCACTGTATTAAATCACTTGAAATGAACAGTCATTTCGATCACTTCAATTCGACAGATACAAACTGTACATGACACGCAAATTTTTACTACCCTCAATGAAAAACAGACACACGTGTCAGGAAGGTGAATTAGCTTCACCGGATGAGAACTACTTTTGCTTCTGTATTTGTAACGCTTAGTCATTGAAAGTATATAAAATATAGGCAATGCATACGTGTTTGTTTCTCAGAGAATCATGCTGTACATGTATGCATTAAACAAATACTGAATTGTATGATTATTGAAAAAAAGGGGCTCACAGTGATGAAATATAATGCGGAAAAGTACCAAGGTGTTTAGATAATGCTAATGCACATGACTTTAGCTGACAGTTTATTTGAGAATTTCTCAGAAAGCTACATACGAGCTATCTAAGTATAATCGACGCTAACTTTGAACTGATTGTTTCTTTCTGATGTTCGCACAAAGCTACACAATGCTAGCCATCCGTAATTTTGAACTGACAGACAAGAGGGAGTACAGTTGCTATTGAACAGCATCCACAGCTATCCCTTGAGCTAATCAAATAAGAGGATTTGACTGTCACGCCCCAAGTGCAGAGCGCGATCTTGCGGTGACGGGACTCGAATTTCGGACTCTCAGATTCATAGTTTGGCATGATAACTACTATGCCACGCCTGGTTCATTTAACTGACGGAATGAGAGAGTTGAGACCTACATTATTAATATGATGTAGCTAAAAATGACCAGCATAAACTTTGATGACAACGTTGTCATACGTTTGAAATTTCAAACTTATGTGAAATAAGTTTCAACTTTGTTTAAGAGCACTTACGGTTAAATCACAAAATTACTGAGTGTCCGATAAGTGCAACTGTAAATATTCAAAAGATAAATTCGATAAAGATATATTTTCAGTTCAACCTATACTTAGAAAATCTACCTTAGTATTTTAATGTAGCATAAAAGGTAAACAGAACTCGAAAATAATAAATGAGAAATAAAAATATTCTAAAAAAATATATAGTTCACTTCTACTACAAACAACCTTAAGACTCGGACAGATAAATATACGCATTTTGATGTAATACTGTGTACCTTAACTCGAAACAGTTGCAATACATCCTTCGGATTTAGCCATTTATTCGAGTTCAAAAAATAAAACGCGTTGCACACACCGCCATAACAAATGTCTCAATCGTCTGGGATAGAGTATTGGGTTTAAACTTGACAGTGATTTTAATTGAATGCAATGTTATAAAACCACGAACTTTCGTCAATCAACTGCGTGTCCTGTATAAATAATTTCTTTGTCAATCCAAAATGAAAGATGTTTTAATTTAAAATTACCTATTGTCATGACAGTCGACATCATTTTTGATATAAAATTTTGCTTTAAATTCGTATTTTTAAATATTCCAGGAATAGACAAATAGTCTGCTGCATTATGGTTAAACATTCCAGTCAACACATTAAGATACAACCGAATTTACCAGATAGTTGAAGTCCACAACCAACGTTCCACGGTCCTATCATGAGTTTCTATAAGTATAACAATGTTTCCTCATCCAGCTTGTAATCATCAAGTGATGGTCATGCTAAACTAATATTACAAAAATGTTCAGTATATTGCAACAAATGGTAAAGCAGAACTTTATTCTCAGAAAAATATTTTAAGTTTAAACATCTGGAAATTTTAATAATCATATTTTCGTCTTCTATTTTGAATTACTTCTCATTTCCATAAACTTTGGACTCAACAGAGACGCAGTTTATACCATTCATTTTACATTTGGCCTTGCCGAATATTTTGCAGAGAAGTCGGTCAGGCATATTGAAAATATCTTTTCTCCAAACAGTTGAAATATTCGATTAAGGTGGGAATATTATAACCCTCGTAAAGCACGATTTTCTATTACAATCGACCTTACAACACAAATACAGGCTTATGCACAGAGTCGTATGTAGCCTATGAAAGTACACCTGTAGTGACGTTCATACATATGATACGTCGACAGTGAAATATGACATCTTAGTTCTAATTCAGCAAATTCAGTTACATCTGTAAACAAAAAATTGCTGTAAAATTAAGAGATGGAATTGAAAACGTTCTAATAAAATTCGTATTTGTCCCTCTCGATTTCTGGAAAATAATGCATACGTATTCGTGTTGCTAAAATATCTACTTTAAATAAACAAATCGTTTATGGTTTGAATAGTCAGTGGCCAAAACTGAGCGATCCAATTCATTCAGACCAGGATGTGAGGCATACGAGGACACTTGTCTAGTTGACCAGTAATAGTGAAGAATCATTACAGGATCATACTCCTAACGTACTCGCTAATCCTCATCACAAGACCGGAGGCAGATTTTCTCGAAAGAACGCGGGTAAAGTCTTTGAAAGACTGAAAAGCTCGTTTAATAACGACCTACAGTATTTTACAGGCCACGAAAAAGCGGAACACCTAGCTGGGAAGGCGCAGCTTTTTAAGATATTCGAATGATGTATTGTATGTTTTATGCCAAAAGCCACTAAATCTATCTACTGCCGTACCTTATTTTGAACTGCAGAGAGGGGGTGAGGACTGGCCAGCAGCGCCCACCGCTAACTCTTGGTCTACGCTTTTACCAATGAATAGTGGGATCTAACTTAGAATAAGCATGAAAAATTGATGGAAAGTAATGATGCATGTTAATACTCTATAAACCAGAAACTTCAACTGAAATGTTTGTCGCAGTATCTTAAAGTGTAAAATATTTGTTGAAAATATGCAAATTAAATTGTGTCTGAGTAAAACATTATACAACAACAAATACTTCTGAAATCTTCACTGTACATAGTCAAACAGAAAGGGACTTCAGCATGGATGAAGTTTAGTAACTATTCTTTTTTTTTTTTTCTTTCAGGGATTTGTACATAAGTACACACATAGCTTCAAACGACTTCGCAATCTGTTTTCAATATAAATGCATATATGCCAAACACGTTCACTTCTATGACTGCAAAAATTCATTACATTAATTCATAGATAGTTAGATAAATATATACGAATAAAGTCTTTATATCCTCAGAATATAGATCGTTGTTACGTATTAAAATGTCGAATAGTCCGAAGTCGAGTTAACTGATAATTTAAGTTTAGTAGATAAATTGTACTTTGGATTTAGTATTTAAATATATGCCGATATATTAGTCAATTTACGATATTTGGCAACAAGATTGATACACACCGTCTTCGTTTTTAACACAAATACGTTTTAATATTCACACAACAATACAATTTACAATAATAGTTATTACAAACAAAGATTTATAAACAAAAGTTTCACAAACAATATAAAATCTTCTTTCAAAATATCAGGCAGCACTGCCTATGTAGAGATGGCTCGGATCGTTAATCAAAATTGTATCTTAAATATCTCCTCAAGAGGTCATCAGAGCTTTATAATACTACACAGTCTTTCCTTTTATAACAATATATATATAATGACTGAGTCACAAGTTCCGGAAATGTCTG